GGTTTAGGGTTTAGGGTTTAGGGTTTAGGGTCACTTTGAAGAAGCCTTGCAGCAACCTCGCTGTGTGCTCAGAGCTGGGTCTTCCAAGTTGGCTGCGCCGCGAAGCCAGACTGTGCGGCCCCGACAACTCCACCGTGCAGTGTGGAGTCGTACAAGAAGGACGTGGCCGTCGCCGTGGACTCACTTATCAGAAGCCTTGCAGGGAAAGTGCGTGCTCAGTGCGTCGCTTGTATGGGTTATGGTATTGTTGCCACCCGCAATTACAAGACATAGGCACATAGAATTTAGAGCTTCGGGGCTTTGGTACTCGGAGGGTCGTACGCATTGAGATCTGCCTATTCACACTATACGCACTCGCCCATTCTGGGAGATGTTGCCCCCTGCCCCCAGCAAAAGCCCTAAACGTTTGAACCCTAAGCCCTAAACACTTCAATCCGGGTACAGTACCCTAAACCCTAAACCCTAGGCCCTCGGCCCTTATTTGTCCATAAGGCCCTCCACCCAGGCCTCAGCTCGAAGCAAGATGTGCAGGAGAGCATCATGTGGGTTTCCCACAACAGGGGTACTCTTTTTTGGGGGTTCCTAAAATACTAGGTAGGCCTTTGGGAGATTTTATATTTGCCCTCATTGGCTTTAAGAGAGGGTCATATTCAGGAATATCTTGCAGAGGGTTTGAAAGGCCATCCTCGTGTCGGGTATAAACCCTATTTTGGGAAGATGCCCATGTCATCCTCCACCAGGAAGCCCCCTACTAAACCGCACTGTTCAAACCCTCAACCCAAAGGCTTTAGGGTTTAGGGTTTAGGGTTTAGGGCGTAGGATGTAGGTTTTGGCGGTTTAGGGTTTGAGGCTTTTAGGGATCAGGGTTAAGAGCCTAGGGTTTTGGGCTTCGGGTCACTGCCTGCCTCCGAGGCTTATACAGAGTAGCAACGCTCATCACGAAGGGCAACCATCATAGGCACCGGGGCGCGGAAGCCGGGGGCTTGCTGAGGAGTGTAGTAGTTTTGAGGTTTGGGACCCTTAGCCCTTCTAGGATCCGTATCCCACCCTACGCCCGCGTCCCTCCAACTAACCACACGAGGTGGACCCTCGTAGATCCCCGAAGTCTTCGACCGTGAAATACACACTGCCCGCGTTGTAGGGTTCAATTAGGGTTTTATTAGGGTTTAATTAGGGCTTCTTTAGGGGTTAGGGTTTAATTGGGGTTTGTACCTTCTTTCGTCCCCGCTCTCCACATAACCTTCCCAACCTAAGCCCTCTAAGACTCCTTTTTTCATTGCAAGGGTTCGAGACCTTAGCGCCTGAGTGAGTTTAGGGTTTCGGGTTTAGGGTTCAGGGTTTAGCGTGTAGGCATTAGGGTTTAGGGTTTAGGGGCTACGAGTTTGGGGAAAGGCCCTAGCGCATGCAGGGCTGTAAGCATTGTGAACCCTGGACCTAAGCCGATATTCTACAGCCGTTTGTTGTTAGTTTTATGTTCCTCAACTTTAGCCCATCAAAAACCCGCCTAGAGCCTAAACCCTAATCCCTAAACCCTATGCCCTAACCGAAACATGCTCTCTATACGGTCTGGGGGACCATGGGCTTTCAGCCTTGTGGGTTTAGACTTTGGGTTTAGGGTGTAGGGTTTAGACTCCCACGCAGGGACCGTAAAGCCCTAAACCCTTAACCTAAACACGAAACCCTCAATTTGATGCAAGAAAAGGTTGGCTGATCTTCGAACGCCTTTGGGGTTTAGGGTTGAGGGCAGATTCTAAACCCCAACCCTGAGGAATAAGTACTTGTCCACTAGCTTTGTCAAGGGTTTCCGAAGCCAGTCAAGTCTAATGTTCACTTCTTTTTGTTTGGGGGTCAGGTGGCTGCGGGGGGGGGGGGGGGTACGTAGCGCCTGTTTGGGCAGCAAGGCTTCTTCGTGTGATGCCTGACTTCTACAAGAAGTCCACATCCTGCACCCTCAAACCTAAACCACCCAAACCCTAAACACGTCCTGCACCTTCAACCCTAAGCCCCCTAAACTCTCAACCCTGAACCCTAAAAGATTAACCACCTCAACCCTAATCCCTCCTGCACTCTACATCCAGCAACTCTCAGCGTTTCCTGCAGACCGGGCGTCTCCATCTTCCAAGATGATGTTCTTGGAGTCACCTGCTGAAGGGCATAGATGGTTTCGCGGCTCGGGTTTAGGTTTGATTCAGGTTAACGGCTTAGGGTTTGCTAGCTGGGTAGTCCGGGTCTTGGGGTGTTTGGCTTTCTTGCTTATGCAAGACAGGCTTGGATAGTTGCTTCAGGCTTTGGGTTTCAGGTTCGAATTGAAGATGCAGCTCGCATGTCCTGAGAATCAGGTCATGCCTCAGCATGCCCAGATACCAAGAAATGCCCTTCAACTCATGGAACTCTTCCCAACCAGCCCCCGTTTTTGACGCAACTTAGCTCCCTACAGCTGTGTTCGGATCGCTTTTTTGGGCCTTGTTCGCGCCACGTGGGCCTGCAGCAACGAAAATCGATGTCTGCTGAGAGCCCCGATTGACAATGCTAGCTCAAGTCGAAGTGAAATGTGCCGCGTCTCGCATGGTAAGAAGCCTCCTTCTGCTCGAGCTCATCGGCACGCGTGCCTTCGCCTCAATATTACCCCTTCCCTTCCCCCCCCCCCTCCCAACCCTAAACCCTAAACCCTGAACCCTGAACCTTTAACCCCTCCTCTAATCCATAAACCTGTGAAGCCCGAAGCTCTGAATCCTAAGCCCTTGTGGGGGGGTGGGGGGGGCGGGGTGTGGTACGAAGCAACCAACTGGCGCTGTCCCTGAACCCCAAGAAACCCACCACTCAGGGTTTAGATGGGGTCTTCGGGTTTAGGGTTTGATATTTAGGGGCACCCTAGACCCCTAAACCCTCAACCCTAGAACCCCAAATCCTAAAAATTAAGCCCCAAACTTCCCAGACCCTAGAACCCCTCAATGTTTAGGGTTTAGGATTTTGGGTTTAGGGTTTAGGGTGTAAGAGTTCTTGAAGGTTCATGGGTAGTTAAAAGCATGGTTGCAGGTATGTTAACCTTTGTTCTCACCTTCAAGTCGGCGCCCAAAACCCTAAACCCTAAGCTCTACTTACAACTACCCACGAAACTAGGGCACTGCAAAGAGCTCCCAGATATTGAGACAACTCGGAGACGCGTTTCACCCCGCAGTTCACCCGGATGTGCCCGTGCAGGGTGTGGAGGAACGTGCTTGCACTGAGGAAAGGAAATCCCTCGCCTCAGATTTGTGATCCCTAAGCCCTAAACCCCAAACCCTATGCAAAACCCTGGAGCCTAGGACATTGATTTCCCAGTTTTTGGATTTCAGACGATCATATTCAGGAATAGTTTTCAGAGGGTTGTAAGGGCCATAACGTAGGGTTTGGGGCCTCAAGGGTGGCTGGATAGGCTATGTAATGTTCGAGCTGTCGGTGTGTTTTCGGGGGGAGTTGGGGTAGGAAGGTTTAGGGGTTGAGGGGTGCAGGGCCTCTTGACAGCCGAAGGCTTCGTGGTGTGTTTCTACAGTTTTGCAAGGGTTTAGGGTTTACAAGGGTTCATTTAGCTTTTGTAAGTGGCCTTGTAAAGGTCTACAGTGGTTTTACACGGGCTCTCAGGGCTTCAGAATGTAACTCCTCTTTGCTGCGACGTCTTCGAGCTTGGGCTTTAGGCGTTATAGGGTGTAGGTTGGAATGTTCATCAATAGGGATTATAGTACCCCTGTATGATAATCCTTACTAAGGACTGTTAGTATAGGGGGGATCATCCCAAGTTATGGGGTGTAGGGCATTAGGGTCAGAGGGTTAGGATTTATGGGCCTAAGGCCTGAACCCGTATCCCTGACTTAATGCGACCAAACAGTGGCTTGAGGCTGGCCTTCCCTTTCCAGCGTCTACATTTTTTGTGGGGTGCAGGGTTTGGGGTGTGGGGTTCAAATAGAGTTTGTATAAGGGTTTAGGGTCTGGGGTATGTGTTTATGTGGTTTGGGATTTCGGGTTATTCAAGGGTTAGGGTTTTGGGCTTAGGCTCGTTGTTACGGTTTCTAGGTTGTAGGATGTTGTTTCTTGCGAAATACCTCAAGTCCCTCGGCACGCTGGGGATCAGACCGACGCTGAGATCACCCCACCACTTACTTTGTACACCTTTCTCAGCCCCTTAACAAAGCCTTCGCATTACACCCTTACATGCCCCTTATGCACCCTCGATAAAGCCCTCAGAAACACCCTCTACCCTAAGCCACGAGGCCCGAACCCCAAGTCCGCTACCTGAGCATGTCACCCGCCTAGGTCCCTGCTATTTGCCTGGTTTTTGGGGCTCCCCTACAAACCACAAGAAGCAACGTTGCACCAACAAAAACACACCCACTTTATCCCTGGACGACGGAGCGCTTAGGGATTTTCTTAGGGTTTAGGGTTTAGGATTTAGGGTTTAGGGTTTGGGGTTTAGGGTTTAGGGTTTAGGGCTCCTCCTCCTCTCCCCGTCGAAGCCATGCACATGGCGCCGCAGAGCTTTCAATCGGCCTCGGATCCATCCATGGCCAGCACCCTACAGGCCTCAGCGGTTGGGCCTCACAAGGGCGGTTTAGGGTTTAGGGTTTCGGGTTCAGGGTTTAGGGTTTGGGGTTTAGGATTTAGGCTTTGAGGGCCTTAGGGTCCAGCAGTTGGGGTTCATAAGGGGTTCTGGCGGCTAGGAAAGCTGTTTTTAGGGCCAGTCGTGGGTTTGGGGCTTAGGTTTTTCTCAGGGGTTTTGTGGAGAGGTTCAGGAATTCATTCGGAGTCCCTTTTATAAATGTGCTGAAGGGGTATGATTTTTTGAATACGTGTATGCACCTATATATGCACACTGGTTAGGGCTGAGGCATTGTTAAAGTGCTTAAGGTTTGGGTTGTTCTGCCGGAGACAATAGGCCAAAGACAGGTTACTCATAGCACTATAGATCATGATAGTATAGAGGGATCCTATACGACCCCACACCCTGACTATCACGTGCCCCAAACATGGCCCAGACAAAACTTTTTTGAGGGTCATTCTGGGTCTTGTAGTTTTTTTTTTTTGGAGGGGGCGGGGGGGGGGGGGGGGGGGGGGGGGGGGGGGCGGAGGGGTAAAGGAAAGTTAGGCCAGATTAGCATAGGGTTGAGTGTAAACAGGTCAAGTTACCTGAAGCCCTAAGTCCTAAACCCAAAAAAATGACGGGGTCCCTGGCTTCCACGCCCTAACACGGTGGGCGCGCCCAGTCGGGAAGCAACCGGGGTTTCTGGATTCTAAAGTGCTGTGAATCATGAACACTCTTTCCCGGGCTAGTCAGAATAGAACAATCTCATTTTTGGTCTTGTAAAGCTATGCATTGAACAGCCAAGTCAGAGCAGAAGAAACCGGGCCGTACATGTTTTTAAGTAACGAGTTTTGCAACTGAGGCTGGTTTTCGCCGTAGTTGCGGCATACCTGAGGCTCATGCAGACCTCCGAGCAACTCTCAACTCCTCAACTTCTCAATCCTCAGCCCTAAACCCTAAACCCTGTGAACTCTACCTGACATTCAAGAGAACCCTAAAACCTAAACCCTAAACCCGAAACCCGAAACCCTAAACCCTAAACCCCCACCCCCCCGGCCCCCCTCCTATGAACTTCGTGAATGCGGTGCCCGCAAGGGGCCTCCGGCCAGCTATGGCGTCTACGGCAACATGCAGGGCATGGCCAGTGGAGGCGGGGCTTGTTTCAGGATCCCCAATCCCTAAACCCTAAACCCTAAACCCTAAATCCCAAACCCCTAAACCCTAAACCCTAAACCCCAGACCCCAAACCCCAAACCCTAAACCCTAAACCCTAGCCCTTAACCCTAAAACCTAAACTCTAAACCCTAAACCCTAAACCCTAAACCCCAAACCCCAAACCCTAAACCCTAAACCCTAAACGAAGAAGATGCTGGCCATCCTGGAGTTGAGGGTTGTGGGGTCAGCTGCACAGGCTTCAGGTAGGGTTTAGGGTTTTAGGGTTTTAGGGTGTAGGGTGTGGGGTTTAGGGTTTAGGATTTAGGGTGTAGGGTTTAGGGTAGGGTTTAGGGTTTCGAAACTACTAGCCCTCCATAGGCTTGCCTAAACCTCGAACCCCCCCCCCCAAATAGAGCAAACCTTGTTTTTTTTCAAACCAGGGTTTAGGGTTTAGGGTTTAGGGTTTTGGGGTTTAGGGTTTAGGGTTTAGGGTTTAGCGTGATGTTTGCTTCAGAACTTCTTCGCCGCCTGGAAGAGGCTGGCGGAGGTCTTGCGGTAGCAAATTCCTAGAAAACCCTCGGCTTGTAGGGTTCTTAAGGGAGGTGAGGGTTTAGGGTTAGGGTTTAGGGTTTAGGGTTTTTGGGTTCAGGGTTTAGGGTTTAGGTCTTAGGTTTTAGGGTTTGAGGTTTAGGGTTTCGGGTTTCGGGTTGAGGGTTTAGGGTTTCGGGTTTAGGGTTCAGGGTTTAGGGCTTAGGGCGTTCAAGGGGGGCAACCCAAGGTTCCCTAGCACTCGCTCCCTCAGGCTCCCGAAGCTTTTTCGAAGGTTCCCTGGGCACCCAGCTTCCATGGACCCCTCCTCCCTTAAGAACCTTATAATAGGCCCGCCCCTGGGATGCCCAGTAGTACCCTTGTTCCCCTTTTTTTTGTTTGGGGGGCGGGGGGGGAGGGGTCTAGGTTCCTTCATCAACCCTCTGTGCAAAAAAAGGCACCCTTTTCAATCCTAGGTTACTGGGCAACCTAGTACACTAAAGTGTAACATTTTTGGCTTTTGTTTAGGGTTGCCTTTTTTGTCTCTGTATCGGAAGACCTCATGTAGGAATCTTTTTCGGAGAGTTCAAACGGCCCGCCGCCTCGAATGCGATCGCCTTCGTAGACCCCCCAGCCGCTTTGGTGGGAGGAGTGGGTTGGAGATACCCTAAACCCTAAACCCTAAACCCTAAACCCTGAACCCTAAACCCTAAACCCTAAACCCGAAACCCGAAACCCTAAACCCTAAACCCTAAACCCTAAACCCTAAACCCATGGTGGCTCGGAGTTTCATGACGGGCCAGGCGGCATTCCCCAGGTGGGGGAGTACGATCTGCCGCAGGCACGGCTCTGACTGAGGATGCCTGACAGGTTTCAGGGCTTTGGTAGTTCTGATCTCTGAACTCTAATCTCTGAACCCTAAACCCTAAACCCTAGAAGCCCTAAGCCTTTGGTAGCCCCACACCAACCAACCGAATACGAGGGATTTTGGGAGTGCTTGGGCTGTGTGTCTGCAAAGTATCAACAGGCTTTTGCGAGATTAGGGGGTGCCAAACCTAAAGCCTACACCCCAAACCGTAAACCGTAAACCCTAAACCCCGAACCCCAAACCCTAAACCCTAAACCCTAAACCATAAACCCTAAACCCTAAACCCTAAACCCTTAGGTGGACGCCTAAGCCTGAGTCAGGACTCAGGGCCATAATTTGAACAACTGGAGCCGCGATGCAACGTGTGGTTTCAGTTTAGTTTTGGGTGGCCTAAACCCGAAACCCTAGACCCTGCGCCCTAAACCCTAAACCTTAAACCTTAAACCCTAAACCCTAAACCCTAAACCTTAAACCCTAAACCCTAAACCCTAAACCCGAGACCCTCAACCAGCTTGCCAATTGCCGCCTCGATTTCCCAGGCGACTATTCAGACTTTAGGTTTAAGTACGGGACACAAGGCCCCTAAGCCAGTGGTTTAGGGTTTAGGGTTTAGGGTTTGGGGTTTAGGGTTGAGGGTATTTTCAGGTTATATAGTTTGGGACTTTTTTTTGTGTTTGACGGCTTTAGGTCTTTAGGGGTCTAGGGCATGCTGTTTCCGACATTCGGGTACCGCTAAGGTTTGGGGTCTAGGGTTGAGATTTCAGGTCCGTCAAGTATCCAGCCCTGTACCGAAAAACTAAACCCTAAGTATAACACCCTAAACCCTAAACCCTAAACCCTAGACCCTAGACCCTAAACCCTAAACCCTAAACCCTAAACCCTAAACCCTAAACCCTAAACCCTAAACCCTAAACCCTAAACCCTAAACCCCATAACAGGGCCAGGGCGGCGCTTCCATGGTGTTGTTTCGAGGAGCCCGCGATGTCGATGCCAGCGACCTGGACAAGGCGCGCCAGGAAGGCTTTGGGTTTAGGGTTTAGGGTTTAGGGTTTAGGGTTTAGGGTTTAGGGTTTAGGGTTTAGGGTTTAGGGTTTGGGTTTTGGGTTGAGGGCTAAACCCTAAACCCTCAGCCCCAAGCCCGAAACCCGAAACCCTAAACCCTAAACCGCACATGTCCAGGTTTCAGAGCTGCCTGAAGGTGTTGCCTTGCTCACGGCGGATCACATGATGGGCCTACTGTGGCGGCTGCCAGCTAGCTGCGTGCAAGATAGCACATGTGGGACAGTATTGGCGCTTAAGCTGCACAGAGGCAGTCGCGGTCGTCTGCGGGGACTGCCTGCTCGACCCTGCAGACAAGGGGCTGCCCCGCCCAAGAGGAGACGCTTTGCGTGCGTGGGAACTGGCGACGAGCAAAGTGTGGTAACTACCGGTCTTCGGCACCCTGAAGCCAGAAGCCCCAATTCTCGTGCCTGCAACCCTCAGCAACAGCTACCACCTCACCCCTATGCTCCCACCGCTGCACTGCTGCACTGCGTACATCTGTCAGTCTTACGAACCTGTTTCGAGAATATCCTATTCACCCTGTAAACTCTGTAAGCCTAAACCCGGGCGGGACGAGCAGAATAGGCGAGTGGGGGTGGTGGGGAAGTGTCGGATATCGCAAGAGTTTTGGAGGTGAATTAGGAAGTTCTGGATAAATATAGGGGCCTTAATAATTAGAATAGGGTTTTATTGTGGAATATAGGGACCAGAAGGGAATACCATTAGAAATTACTCCGACCCCTGCAGTAGGATTCGAGAGCACAGCAGAAGTTGATGTCACAGCTCAGTGATCACTCAGACGAAGGCCTTTGGGTTAGGGTTGTTTACGGGTTAGGATTTACGGTTTATCAGGTTTAGGGTTTATAAGGGTTAAGGTTTAAACCCTAAACCCTCAACCCTCAACCCTCAACCCTCAACCCTCAACCCTCAACCCTCAACCCTCAACCCTCAACCCTCAACCCTCAACCCTCAACCCTAAACCCCAAACCCTAAACCCTAAACCCTAAACCCTAAACCCTAAACCCTGGCATCCTTTGAGGGTCACCTATCGCCCCCGAAATCCCCAAATCCCTTCAAGCCGTGGACCCTGAAGCCCTAAGCATGTAGGCTCCCTACAGCCCTAAAGCCGTATGCTTTAAGCCTTGGTTTACCCTAAACCCTAAAACCCTAAACCCTACACCCTAAACCCTAAACCCTATGAACCCCAAACCCTAAACTGCAAGTTGCCGAGCGCAGATCTCCGCCCATCACCACCCGATCGACGCGGTCTTCCTTCGGCCCGTCCGCTTGGGTGCCCAGTCTTGGGGTTGAGGGTTTAGGGTTTAGGGTTTAGGGTTGAGGGTTTAGGGTTTTCGAAAGAATCTGAAAGACATTCTTTGAGATGACCCCTTGGGTTTGGAGGCGGTTTCGGAGACCTGGCTCATGGAAGGTTTCAGGGCGTTTTGCGGTGTGGGATCTCAGGATTTCATGCTAAGAGGGGGTGCGTTGAAGCGCTGCGTCCTTCGGAGCACGCTGACGCCCTAAACCCTCAGATCCCTACATCCTAAACCCTAAACCCTACACCCTAAACCCTAAACCCTAAACCCTAAACCCTAAACCCTAAACCCTACACCCTAAACCCTAAACCCTAAACCCGAAACCCGAAACCCTAAACCCTATTCAGCCTAAGCTTCTACGCCCCGAGGCAGCCCCGTAGAGTTCCTCGTGACCTCGATGCCCTATACTCCTCCCTCTCCTGCTTCATCCTACTCTACCTTATGTATCTAGGTAGGTAGGGTTTAGGGTTTAGGGTTTAGGGTTAGGGTTGAGGGTTTAGGGTTTAGGGTTTAGGGTTTAGGGTTTAGGGCTTAGGGTTTAGGGTTTAGGGTTTAGGGTTTAGGGCTTAGGGCTTAGGGCTTAGGGCTTAGGGTTTACGGTCCAGAGATTAGGGATCATAGGGCTGCAGAAGGTTTGGAGTTTAGGGACGCGAGTTACAAGCCACAAGCATTAAGCCCGAGAAGCCCTAGACCTAAGCCCTAAACCCTAAGCCCTAAGCCCTAAGCCCTAAGCCCTAAGCCCTAAACCCTAAACCCTAAACCCTAAACCCTAAACCCTAAACCCTAAACCCTCAGCGTGAGTAGAGAGTTCGTATCAGCACCAACGAACAGGAGGTCGTCAAGCACGTGGAGCGAAAGAAGGCGTGGCTGGAGTGCTGCAAAGGGTCTTTAGATCTTAGTTTAGGGTTTGGGGTTAGGTTTAGGGTTTAGGATTTAGGGTTTAGGGTTTAGGGTTAGGGTTTAGGGTTTAGGGTTTAGGGTTTAGGGTTTAGGGTTTAGAGTTTAGGGTTTAGGGTTTAGGGTTTAGGTTTAGGGTTGAGGGTTGAGGGTTGAGGGTTGAGGGTTGAGGGTTGAGGGTTGAGGGTTGAGGGTTGAGGGTTGAGGGTTGAGGGTTGAGCGGGCTCCGCAGGGATGTGGGTGCAGGACTTCAGGACGTCGTCGGCTGGGACTTCTTGTGACGGAAAGCTATGAAGGATGAGGCTTGTATCTGACACCGTTGGTGTACCCCGAGCCCTAGACCCGAAACCCTAAATCCCAAACCCTGTACACGACCCAACTTAGAGTTTAGTTTGTTTTTTTGGCTGAGGGCTTGGGCTACAAGTTCATGGCCAAAGCCCCGCAACCCGAACCGGAGACCCCAATCCAAGATTTCTTAACCCAAAGCCTAAGCCTAAAAACCCCTAAACCCCTAACCCTAAACCCCAAAACCCTAAACCGTAAACCCTAAACCCTAAACCCTATCATAGATCAGGTGGAGTACCACACCATCCTCCGCGAGCAGCCGCAGGTCGAGGCACCGGCACTGAATCCCCAACGACTCTTGTGGGGTTTAGGGTTTAGGGTTTAAAGGTTTAGGGGTTAGGGTTTAGGGTTTAGGGTTTCAGGGTAATATCTGGGATGTGCCCCCTGTATACTAGCAGCTTCTGAATAGGGACTAGCGTATTCCCGATTGTAATCCCTAGTAAGGACTGTTCGTATAAGGGGGAACATCCCAACTTGCGGGGTTACGGATTTGCAGTTTCGGGGTTACGTAGGGTGTATCAGAGGTTTCCGAAAATACTGCGTGCCCAATTTGGGGGGTCTAGAATAAGGCTTATAGTGTTGGGTATTTTTTTCGGTACGACATTCCCCAAAGCACAATGGTACCCCGATTTGTCGAAATACTCTGTCAACCCCAACACTCGAAGCTCAACTCTACACCCTAGGCTGACAGGGAGAGGAAGTCCAGAGAATCGCCCAAAACCCAAAACCCAAAACCCAAAACCCAAAACCCAAAGCCCAAAGCCCAAACCCCAACACCCAAAACCCAAGGCTCAAAACCCAAAACCCTAACCCTAAACCCCAAGCCCTACAAGTCTTCAAGTGTTTGGCCCCGAAAGAACTCGAAGCTCCAGCGACGAGGCCCTCCCGAATAGCCCTTCGGACTGAGATGCATTTCGGGTTTAGGCGTAGAGTTGAGGATTTGCGTTTAGGGTTTAGGCTTGAGGGTTTGTAGGGGCCTTAACAAATGGAAGACTTTAGTTTTCGATGGGTTCTTCTAGCATAACTGTTCAGGGAACATATAAGGGAATACTATCAGTACTTATCCCGACCCCTATAGGATTCAGTCTAAATTTTGTAAGTCTGGACATGCTCAAAGGGGGGTTTACGAAAATTGGGGACCCCAAAAAAGACTCCCAAATAGTAGGATTACCTTATAATAAGGACCCCACCCCCTAATTTCGGAAACAGCCAAATGAGTTCGCGTGACCTCTGTCGAGGTGGTGGAGAAGCATGTGGACGTCCCACGCATAGAGGCGGGCCCCTGGGAGAACTCAGTGTCTCCCCCCCGCTACCTTAAACCCTAAACCCCCCCAATAAAGCAAAGCAGATGCGTTGTGCCATGGGCCAGGCCAAGGGAAGCCTATAAACTGGGTAGGCCATGACGAGATTTCATATTATCCTTCACTTAAGGGAATCGCATGTTGCGTCGATTTTTTTTGAGGGTTTCAAGGGCCAACCTAGTATGTAGGTATATGGGAGTTTACGAAAATGGGGGACCCAAAATATAGACCCCCTAATAGTAGGATTCCCTTATAAGAAGGACCCAAAAAGGTACCCCGAATTTACTAACATCGTAAACCCTCTTAAGCCCTCAACCCTAAACCCTACGACCCCACATTTGCTTGTGAACGCTGCCCTGCTCAGTGCCAACCCCTATGTCCGGAAACCCCAAATTTAGGGTTCTTAACGTCAAAAAACCCTAAAAAACCCTAAATTTAGGGTTTTTTTCACGTTAAAAAACCTTAAATGCTTGAAACCCTACGCCGTCAACCCTACGCGAAGGAGCCGAGATCATCGAACTGCGGAAGCCTCACGTTCACTGCCTTGTACTCCTAAACCCCGAACCCGAAGCCCGAAGCCCTAAGCCCGAAGCCCTAAGCCCGAAGCCCTAAACCCTAAACCCTAAACCCTTAACCCTAAACCCGAAACCCTAAACCCTAATCCCTAAACCCTAAACCCTAAACCCATCGCAGGTGCGCGAGCGCTTGGAGGAAGTGCCACTGACCCTGATCCACGAGACCTTAGTCGAGGCCGGGCCTGTTTTGGCCCAACTGAAACGGGATTGGGGTTTAGGGTTTAGGGTTCAGGGTTTAGGGTTTAGGGTTTAGGGTTTAGGGTTTAGGAATTAGGGTTTAGGGTTTAGGGTTTAGGCTTTTTGGGCTTTTTGGGCTTTTTGGGCTTTTTGGGGTTTACCGATGGAGGGCTTGGGGCTTTGGGGCTTTGGGGCTTTGGACTTGGGTTGGGGGTTTGGGGTTCGGGGTTTTGGGCTTGATTTTTTCGGGCTCACTCCCTACCTCCCCAGACCCGACAGATTCTGGGTACTCACCCTAAACCCTAAACCCTAAACCCTAAACCCTGTTGGAGTTGGGTCATCGGGTTGTGGGCTGCAGAGAGACTGGGTCATCGGGCTTCGGATTGCAGGGATGTACGATCTGCTGCGGTGGGGTTTAGGGCATTGAAGGCTTGGAGGTTTGGCATGAAGTTGATCTATACATATGCCGCATCATATGCCCGCTTTGGGCCCAACTAAGGCTAACCAAGGGCGGGGAGAGAAGAAAGACGTTCGACACTTCCTTGAAACCATAAGATCCTAAACCAGAAAACCCTAAGCCTAAACCGAAGCCCCGAACACTAGACCCTAGACCCCAAGCCTAAGCTTTAATGGGGTTAGGACAGGTTTAGGGTGTAGGGTTTAGGGTTTGGGGTTTAGGGTTTAGGTAGGGTTTAGGGTTTAGGGTTTAGGGGGAGACCCCGAACCTGCAGGGCTCTCTGAAAAGAAAGGCCACTCTGTCGATGGGCCCGTGTCAGGGCGGCCTTGCAAAGGAGTTGCCTGCTAAACCCTAAACCCTGAACCCTAAATCCTAAATCCTAAACCCTAAACCCTAAACCCTAAACCCTAAATAAATCCTCAAACCTCACAAAGTCCCCGGCCGCTTGGAAGCCTTTGGGGCACAAGCCGCCGTGAGGTCCCAGATGTCCGGCAGGATGAGATCATCCGAGAGGCTGGGTCTAGGGTTTAGGGGTTTAGGGTTTAGGGTTTAGGGTTTAGGGTTTAGGGTTTAGGGGTTTAGGGGTTTAGGTTTAGGGGTTTAGGGGTTTAGGGGTTTAGGGGTTTAGGGTTTAGGGTTTAGGGTTTAGGGTTTAGGGTTTAGGGTTTAGGGTTTAGGGTTTAGGGTTTAGGGTTTAGGGTTTACAGTAGGGTTTAGGGTTTTGGCTGCCGTGGAGAGCTCTTGAGGTTTAGGGTTTGAGGGTTTGAGGGTTTGGGGGTTTGAGGGTTTGAGGGTTTGAGGGTTTGAGGGCTTTAGGGTTGTAGGGTTTGCGGGTTTTGAGAATTTTGGGGTATCGGGTTTTGGGGTTTTGCGATTTGAGAAGGTTTCAGGGCTTCCGGGGTTTAGGGTTTTAGGGTCTTGTGGGGTTTAGGTTTTTGGGGGTTTTGGGGTTTTGGGTTTTGGGGTTTGGGGTTTTGGGTTTAAGGTTTCAGGGCTTTAGGGGTTAGGGTTTTAGGGTTTTTAGGGGGGTTTCAGGGTTTTGGGGTTTTAGGGTTTTGTGGTTTCAGGGTTTTAGTGTTTTAGTGTTGTTGTATGTTCAGGGCTTCAGGGTTTTAGGGTTAAGGGTTTAGGGATACTTGAAGGTTCATGGGTACTCATAAATAGGGATAGAAGGAAGCTAACCCATATGACCACCTTAGACAATCAAACTTAGTAACCACCCATGAACCTGCAAGTAGGGTTTCCTGTCTTATTGGTTGGGAGTCTCGGATAACTCGTGGTTTGGAGTTTAGGGTTTAGGGTTTAAGTTTCTGTACGGATTGTGGCCTCCGCTCTTGAGCCCTAAACTCTAAACTCTAAACCTTAAACCCAAATCCCAAAAACCATATCCCAACCCGAAACCCTAAACCCCAAACCCGACACCCAATTCAGGTTCCGAAGGTGAATTACCAAGAGCTAAACCCTAAACCCTAAAACCTAAACCCTAAAGCCCTAAAACCCTAAACCCTAAACCCCAAATCAGGTTCCGAAAGTGAATTACCAAGAGCTGGTCAAGCAGATCGAGCTACCCGTGACGAGGATGAAGCTGGGAGACTTTAGTAGGCTCCTAAACCTTTTACACCCTAAACCTTGAATCTCAAACCGGGTGACCCTAAACCCTAAACCCTAAACCCTAAACCCTAAACCCTAAACCCTGGACCCTAAACCCCAAATCCTAATCCCTAAACCAGATGTTGGGTTTGGGTGTTCGGCCCTGACAAGCTGAGACAGTCTAGCCAGGCTCCGGGCCTCCCGCGCCCAGTAAAGTCAAGTGGGTTTAGGGTTTAGGGTTCAGGGTTTAGGGTTTAGGAAGTTTACCTAGATTAGTTTTTTTTTTCAATTTGGGGTTCAGGATTTAGTGTTTAGACCTTAGGCTTTGATAATTTTAGGGTACCCAAAATGGAACCAGAGCCCTCTTTTCAAGGTGACCCAGTCGCGCGAGCGTGTCCTGGAGGTCCCGATGACGCTGGTCCAGGCCCAGGGCAGAAGGGTTAGAAGTTGAGTTTGGCGGGGATCCGAAGCTCCTGAACCCTAAGCCCTAAACCCTACACCCTACACCCTAAACCCTAAACCCTAAACCCCAAACCCTAAACCCTAAACCCTAACCCTAAACCCTAAACCCGAAACCCTAAACCGTTGTTTCTTGATGAAAGTGGCCAGCCGGGTCGCATGGAGAGCCCTTTGGAGGAGGAGCTCTGGATCCAAATGCAGACCAAACATTTGGCTTAGGGTTTAGGGTTTAGGGTTTAGGGTTTAGGGTTTAGGGTTTAGGGTTTAGGGTTTAGGGTTTAGGGTTTAGGGTTTAGGGTTTAGGGTTTAGGGGAGGTGCTTTGCCAGCACGGTGTCTTCGTGGAAGCCCAGGAAAGCAAGAAGCTTTGTCTGGACGTACTGCGCAAGTTCTGGCTCCAGCACTGTGCGGTGATGGTTTAGGGTTTAGGGTTAGGGCTTAGGGTTTAGGGTTTAGGGTTTAGGGTTTAGGGTTTAGGGTTTAGGGTTTAGGGTTTAGGGTTTAGGGTTTAGGGTTTAGGGTTTAGGGTTCAGGGCACGGATCGATGACCAGCAAGCATGTCCTGCACTTGACGGCGCGGGCATTGCCCGCACATGTACATTTGGCAGGAGCATTTGCAGCTTGAAGCCTGGCTGGCTCCTGTGCTGCCCTGCCAGACTACAAGCCCGAACAATCATGGCACGCGGCAGGGCCGCCCGTCGCCTTCGCGGGTTTAGGGTTCAGGGTTCAGGGTTTAGGGTTCAGCGTTTAGGGTTTAGGGTTGAGGGTCAGAAAGAAACATATTCCTAGCGTTCACCCTCAATCACTAAACCCTTCAACCCCTCAACCCTGAAGCCTAAACTCTTCATCCTGATCCCTTGATCTCCTAAACCCCCATGCCCTAAACCTTAAACCCAGAACCCTAAACCCCAAACCTAAACCCCAAACCCTAAACCCCAAGCTCCAAAACCCCAAGCTCCAAAACCCTAAACCCGGCACTGTCAGAGGCAAATTTAACTATCAGCCCTTCGAGTCGAGAGGGCTAGGAAGCCCAAAACACCCCAATAACCCTAAACCCAAAACCCCAAAACCCCAAAACCCCAAACCCTAAACCCTAAGCCCTAAACCCTAAGCCCTAAACCCGAAACCCGAAACCCTAAACCCTAAACCCCAAACCCTAAGCCCTAGACAGCTGCACACCCCTGAGCCCCAAAACCCTCAACTGTTCAACTCTCTGCCCCTCTTTGCTCTTTCCCAGGAGGCCTTTGTGGAGATTCCTCGGTATGAGCGCGTGGAAGTCCAGAAGCAGGTGGCCAAACCTACAGTGAAGAAGGCGCCAGGGGAGGATTTAGGGTTTAGGGTTTAGGGTTTAGGGTTTAGGGTTTAGGGTTTAGTTACATAGTTTAGGACCCCGAAGCTTGGCCCATAGCCCTAAGCCCTTAACTGCAGGGTGGTCGAGCTGTAGGGTTCCAGGGTTTGGGGCTTAGCCTGCGCTGCAGAACTGTTTACACCGATCCCCCCAAAGTCCTAAACTCTAAACCCTAAACCCTAAACCCCTAAACCCCGAAACCCTAAACCCTAAACCCCTAAACCCTAAACCCAAAACCCCTAAACCCTAAACCCTATACCCTAAACCCTAAACAGCATACCCAGAACCCAACCACGGAGCCCGCATGTAGTGTCACAGGTTCAGCGCCGGCTCCCAGAGACTGCTTGAATTTAGGGTTTTGGGTTTAGGGTTAAGGGTTTAGGGTTTAGGGTTTAGAGCTTTGTAGGGTTTGTAGCAGGGTCTACAAGGTTTATAGGCTTAGTTCCTAGAATTTATGGGGTTTAGCGTGGCGGCGCCGCGGAAATGTCTGTGTTGTCCAGAGCTCATGAAGGTTATGCTAGACCCTAAGCCCTACAGTAAACCCTAAACAGCCCTGGGCCCTAAATCTCCAAGCCCTGAAGCCTAAACCAGGTTCCGAAGCACGTGGAGAAGCCGGTGGTGCAGGCAACCGGGCTTAGGGCGCCCAAATCTCCGAAGCCCTTGCAGGGTTGAGTAAATTTAGGGTTTAGGATTTAGGGTTTAGGATTTAGGGTTTAGGATTTAGGGTTTAGGGACAAGGGTTTAGGGTTGAGGGTTTAGGGTTGAGATTCAGGCTTTACGGATTTGGGCGACCTTGCACAAGGCACCTGACATGGCAACCACCCCTCCCCGAGCCGGCCTCAACCCTCAATCCGAAACCCTAGTTCAACTACCTGAAACCCTAGACCCTAAACCCTAAACCCTAAACCCTAAACCCTAAACCCTAAACCCTGAACCCTAAACCCTAAACCCTAAACCCTAAACCCTGAACCCTGAACCCTAATTCCCTTTAAGGTCCGCAGGGCCCCGGCTCCAAATTTCGACCCGTAGCCCAGTGATCCCTGCGTGGTGTCCTAAACCCGAGACCTTCTTGCCTAGTCCAACTCTTAGGCCCAAACGTCTAGGGTTTAGGGCGTCAAGCAGATAGTATATATGTGGGCTCCGGGGAGGGTCTTCGAACGTGAGAAGGAACATGGAAATAGAGATTTTGGTAGGGTTCAGGGTTTAGGGGTTTAGGGTTCAGGATTTAGGATTTAGGGTTTAGGGTTTAGGGTTTAGGGAAACGAGCTCTTCGCCAGGTTCGGGAGCGCACGCAGCAAGTTCCCAGCATCACGATGAAGCAGGAGCTCGTGGAGGTCCACGTTGTGTTTGGGGTTTAGGGTTTAGGGTTTAGGGTTTAGGGTTTAGGGTTTAGGGTTTAGGTTTAGGGTTTAGGATTTAGGGTTTACGAAATATCTGAAATACCACCTTGGGTTTAGATTCTTTTAGATGAGCCTTGGGTTTGGGGTTTGAGGGTTTAGCCTTTGAAATCCGGTCTGGGGTTCAAGGTTTAAGTACATAAGGTCTAGGGGCTAAGAGTTTAGGGGCTTCGGGGCTTAGAGGTTTAGGAGAATGGTCCCTCCTCACCCGCTTATGATGTTAGTTTTTCTGGTCTTATAGCTTGTAGGCAAAATCACCTTAAACCCTAAACCCTGAACCTTAAACCCTGAACCCTAAACCCTAAACCCTGAACCCTAAACCCGAAACCCTAAACAGCACTCAATATTTGAGAGGGTTGGTGGAGCGCACATAAAGCGCAGGAGAGGGTGTTCAGGGGGGTCTGGGCTTCTTGGAATTTTAGGCATCTAGGGTTTAGAATTTCGGGTTTAGGGTTTGGGGTTTCGGGTTTAGGGTTTGGGGTTTCGGGTTTAGGGTTTCGGGAGGCGCAAAAGGCGGGGTTGGGGTCATGGGATGCGAGCCCAGAACATTCGTTTCGTTTCTGTCCCGACAGTGACCCCGCACCCAAGAGGGAACCTCAAGCGTCATGGGTGTAGGATTTGGGGCTTGGGTACCCTAAAACCTAAACCCTCAACCCTATATAAGCCCTAAACCCTAAACCCCATTCCCCATTCCCCAACCCCTGAAGCCCTGAAGCCGTGTACATAAACTACGGACTGTTCAGAGCTTACGGTTACAGGCTCAGGGCTCCAACAAGTCCCGAAGTCCTGAGCCCTAAACCCTAAACTCGACGGGTTTAGGGTTTAGGGTTTAGGGTTTAGGGGTCGGCAAGGTGCCTCGACCCGAGTTCATGGAGCTGATCAAGCAGCCTGGATGGCTGAAAGTGTCTGATGTTGGCCTTCAGAGCTTAGGGTTTGGGGTTTGGGGTTTAGGGTTTGTGGCATGCATGTGTTACATACTTAACGTGGCATAACTCGATGTCACTGTACGGGTGGTATACACATGTATATACACACACATGTTCAGGTGTTTGTATATGTATATGTATATGTATATGTATATGCATATGTATATGCATATGTATATGTATATGTGTAATTATGTGAAAGTAGATGTACATGTATCTGCACGTGTATATATATATATATGTATGTACATATGCACGATAGACCTTTATGCTCTATTTTACGGCTGCCTGCAAGAGTGCGACAGTTCCGTTTCGAGGTATCTTATGGGCTTGCGGTTTGCTTAGAGGCATTTGAGGTTTCAGAGCGTAGGATGTTGCAGGTAGGGCTTTCTGGAGGATTAGGGCGGGCCGTCCCCAAGCCCTACTCGTAGGGTTTAGGGCTAAACACTCGGATCCTAAACCCTAAACCCTAAACCCTAACCCCAATTGTTGCTTCAATCTACAAATAGGCTCCTGGAGGATCGGGGTCCACGGGAGCCAGCTATCGTAACGGGGTACAGTAGGTACCCTAAACCCCAAACCCTAAACCCTAAACCCAAAACCCCTGAACCCTAAACCCTAAACCCTAAACCCTCAGAAGTACCATAAAGGGGGACAGCCTAAGCTTCATTGATTGAACATCTTCCCCCTGGTTCTCAGTGGTGAATGAGGGAATGAGGGCCCTATATATACCCTTGAAGGGATTCTATAGGGCCTTCCCTCTAACCCTAAACCCTAAACCCTAAACCCTAAACCCTAGACCCTACTAAGCACCAGCCCGTCTTGAAAAAGGCAAGTTCCGGTGGAGGAGGTGAGGCAGATCGAGAGGAAGGTGGAGCGACCCCAGGCCGGGCTTGCGTGTTTAGGGTTCAGGGTTCAGGGTTTGAACCCTGAACCCTGGGCCTCTAAAATGCCGCAAGCCCAGTCTCTCCTAACCAAACACTTCAGAGTGATCCGGCCAGCTATTATACTCCCTTACATAAGAACCCTATCAAGACAGGATCCTTCGCCCCGGTTTTCGTTTCACCCCCCCCCCCCGTTCCCTAGGTCGTTCAGGCTTGGGCTCCACTGGATAGGGGTTGCCCCAACCCTCAACCCTAAACCCAAAGGGTTTAGGTGTGAACGAAGGGTCGGCTTTTTAAGGGTGACCTTAGACTTTTAAACCCTACACCCTTTGGCCCCTTGGACGGCCTTTTTTTCTTTTTTAGTTTTCTCGGTTGGGCCTAAGAGCATCCTATTCAGGAGAAAAAAACTATAAGAGGTTTCAAAGGGGCCAACCCTAAACCCTGGACCCTGAATCCTTGAACCCCTGAACCCTCAACCCTGAACACTCAACCCTGAACCCGAAACTCCAAACCCTGAACCCTAAGCCCTAAGCCCTAAGCCCTAAGCCCTAAGCCCTAAGCCCTAAGCCCTAAACCCTAAACCCTAAACCCGAACTCCATACTAAAATCTCCTGGCGGAAAGGCACAGATTGTGGAGAGGCCGGTCGAGGCCAGGCACCTCCAGCCTTACAACCCCGAATAGGGTTCAGGGTTTAGGGTTTAGGGTTTAGGGTTTAGGGTTTAGGGTTTAGGGTTTAGGGTTTAGGGTTTAGGGATTAGGGTTTAGGGTTCAGGGTTCAGGGTTTAGGGTTTAGGGCTTAGGGTTTAGGGCTTAGGGTTTAGGGTTTAGGGTTTGGGGTTTAGGGTTTGCGGGTGACTCCATTGCGGACAAATCTCGAACAGGGTTCAGGGTTTGGGGTTTTGGGGGCTCAGGGTCCAGGGGTGTCGTGTTTATTTTGACCCTTTCACCTCAACCTCTCAACCTTGAGGGCAAGGCCATGCGGGTCTTTGGGGAGCTTGTTGTCCTTCAGGGGGAGAGGGCCTAAACTTCTGAGCCCTAAACCCTAAACCCCGAACCCTAAACCCTAAACCCTGAACCCTGAAGCCCAAAAGCTCAACCCTTTTTGTAAGGGTTCAATGGGGCTACTGCGACGAGGTCTCCAGCGCGAGGCACCTGAACATGTTAACTAACTTTTTTGGGGTTCAGGGTTTTGGGTTTGGGGGTTTAGGGCTCAAACGCTAGAACTGCTACAGGTTTTGGGCTTTTGGGGTTTTGAGGTTGTGGGAATTCCGGCTTAGCCGTTACAGGGTTTAGGGTTTCAGGCCCGTAGGGCTTTTTGGGTGAGCTTGGGGTGTTCTTGCGGCCTACGCCCCCCACCGGGGAAGGGGGAGGGTTATCAGAATGCACCGGAAACCCTAAACCCTACAACTTAAACCTTGAACCCTGAACCCTTAGCCCTAAAAGAGCCCTACGCCCTACAGCCTTACCGCCCACCAAGCGGCCCACGTCGAGGTGGTCCTTCATGAGGTCCACGACAGCATTGTGGAGGCGCCCTAATCACCAAGTAGCCTGAAGGGTTTAGGGTTTAGGGTTTAGGGTTTAGGGTTTAGGGTTTAGGGTTTAGGGTTTGCGCTTTAGGGTTCGGGTTTTGGGTACCCCAAACCGACAACCCTAAGGCCCTAATGAAATTGAGGAGGCTGACCTGGTTGGGGTATCTCAGGTTCTGGCCAAGTGGGCCATGGGCGTTGACCCGAGTGCGCGCACAGTCCTTCGGAGCTAGGTTTAGGGTTTGGGGTTGATGGTTTGGGGTTTGGGGTTTAAGAGTTGGGGTGGAGCTTGGTAGGGTTTGGAGTTGAGGCCTCGGCCTTTTGGTTTAAAGGCATGTTCAGTTGCCTTTTGAGACTGTTTAAAGAGCCAGCCTAGTTGTTTTTTTTGTTGGTTGTGGGGGCGGGGAGGTGGGGGAGATGGGTGTGGGGTATCGGGCTGAAAGCATCCTCAACCCTAAACCCTAAACCCTAAACCCTAAACCCTAAACCCTAAACCCTAAACCCTAAACCCTAAACCCTAAACCCTAAACCCTAAACCCCCTAAACTCTAAGCCCTGAACACCCTCAAGCTCAGAACCATCCCCAGGTGCCGGAGATCGAGTTCCATGAAGTCATCAAGGAGGTGCCCCGTGTGGAGGTTCAGTACGTGGACAAGAAGGCGCGGCCGATCGTTCAGGCTTAGGGTTTAGGGTTTAGGGTTTAGGGTTTAGGGGTTAGGGTTTAGGGTTTAGGGTTTAGGGTTTAGAGTTTAGGGTTTAGGGTTTTTTTAGTTTAGGGGTTGGAACCTTCAAGCGCTAAGCTCGTTTGGGCGTCAGGGGTGTACTCAAACCCAAACCCTAAGCCCTAAACAGGGGTTGAGGTTCAAACCCTAAACCCTACCCTCAACTCTAAACCATCCCCACGAAGAATAGTCGCAGGTGGAGGTGCACAAGATCGAGTACATCGAGAAGGTGGTGGAAGTGCCACAAGTTATCTACGAGGACGGTTCGGGGGTCAATGAACCCTGAACCCTGAACCCTAAACCCTAAACCCTAAACCCTAAACCCTGAACCCTGAACCCTAAACCCTAAACCCTAAACCCTAAACCCTAAACCCTAAACCCTAAACCCTAAACCCTAAACCCTAAACCTCTAAACCCTGAACCCTGAACCCGTAGTCGGTCTAGGCCAGTTTTGGGGGCCCCGCGTTCGGTCGGAGGGTGTAGGGCTTACAGGGTTTTAGGCTACGAGGGTGTATGGTGGATAGGGTTTCTGGTTTAGGGTTTAGGGTTTAGGGTTTAGGGTTTAGGGTTTAGGATTTAGGGTTTAGGATTTAGGGCATATAGGGCTGTAGTACGGGCTTAAAGCGGGTGTAGGGCTGAAGTGAGTTTTACAGTACGGTGCAGGAACCAACTGGTTAGGGCTGTCAGGACTCAGGACCGCGATTCGTTATATGTCGGGTTTAGGGTTTAGGGTTTAGGGGTTAGGGTTTATGGTTCTCGGGCAGGTTTAGGGTTTGTTTGGAAGCTCCATCCTAAACCCGATCTGTTAAAAAAAGACTTAAGCTCCAAAGCCGCAAACCTTCACTCGACCAGCACAAGCCCGTAAACAAGCTCATTTGTCCTAAACCCGAAACCCCAAACCCCGAAGCAAGCCCCAAGACCCAAACACTTGGTTTTGCTTGAACCCGAAACCCTAAATCCTAAACCCTGAACCCTAAACCCTACACCCAAAACCCTAAACCCTAAACCCTAAACCCTATAAACCCTAAACCGATGAAGCCCAGGAGCGTATCATCGAAGTTCCAGAAGTGGAGTACCGGGAGGTCATCAAGCAGGCCCCCGCGCCCCCCACTCATGTGTTTGGGTTTAGGGTTTAGGGTTTAGGGTTTAGGGTTTAGGGTTTAGGGTTTAGGGTTTAGGGTTTAGGGTTTAGGGTTTAGGGTTTAGGGTTTAGGGGTTAGGGGTTAGGGGTTAGGGGTTAGGGGTTAGGGGTTAGGGGTTTGGGTTTAGGGTTTAGGGTTTAGTGTTTGGGTTTCCGCCCAACCCGTTCAGGCCCTCAACCCGAAACCAACCCTAAAACCCTAAACGAGACCCCGGGTAGGCTTGTTACCATTCTTTAAGGTTTTAGGTTCCCTTTTATGCCCCGTCAAAATTAGCCCTTAAGACAGAAAAGGTACCCTTGTATTCAACCCTAAACCCTAATTCTAAACCCTAAACCCTAAACCCTAAACCCTAAACCCTAAACCCTAAAGCCGGTTTATGCCTAGGTTCCTCTTTGGATTTCGACCCCAAAAAGCCTCATTTTCCCCAGCTGAGAAACCTACCCGCAGGTGCCAAAGCCCGTCGTGCAGTATGTGGACAAGGAGGTGGGGTTTGGGGTTTAGGGTTTGGGGTTTAGGGTTAGGGTTTGGGGTTTAGGCTTCAGGGTTTAGGGCTACTATAAGGGTTTTCAGGGTTTAGGGGGTTGGAGGTTTTGGGCTTGCAAAGGTTTTGTTATGCTTAGTTCATAGGGTGCAGGGCCCAATGTCTGAATATGCATTATGGTCAGTAGTATAGGCTACGACCCAGTTTTCTGCCCGAGTTCTCGATCCAACTCGCCCTTGACCAGTCCCAGGCCCTGAACCACTTGTGTTACTTAGGCCCCTGGGGAGGATCCAAAAAGTAGATCCCCTTATTAAGGATTCCGAACAATGACCCAATACTAGTATAGGTTGGGATGTTCCCCCTTGTACTAGCAGTTCTTCTTTGGGATTCTAATGGGAGGTCCTAGAATCCCTATGAAGGACTGCTGGTAGAAGGGGAGAACATCCCAAAGTATAGGGTAGCATTTAGGGGCTCTACTTTTTGGATCCTCCCAAGGCCCCTGGGTGAGGGCTTGGGGCTGATGGCGAACGCGGTCCGAGCTGCGACCTGGGTTTAGGGTTTAGGGTTTAGGGTTTAGGGTTTAGGGTTTAGGGTAGATCCCGCACTCCGGAGCCTGTCATAGGGTAGTCACGTGTCCCTGAACATGGGCCCTTAAAAGCGGACCCCTTTCATACCCCTTACATACCCCGTAGAACCTGGGGGCCCCTACTTCAGGTAAGGGACCACATGCAGTTTCCACAGATCGCGTGGAACCCAAAAAACGGACCACCACGGCCTACACCAGCGAATCATCCACGACGCGTTTCCAGATTCCTGTAGCTCCGGCCAAACAAAAAACACTTCACACACGTCACGGTATGACGGCCGAGCCTGGGTTCAAAGCCCACGGGGCACTTCCGCCCCATTGGTAGCAGCTGTGAAATGGCTGGCCTACGATGTGATGCTGTCACGTCGTCCGCGTTCACTCGCAACACTGCTGCCTTCTTTGGCATGCCCGGGCGTCGCATTTCCTGCAGGCAGACCTCCGCAAGAGATCCTGCAGAGTACGCCAATGTTACACCCGCGTGCGGAGTCGGTTGCGCGGTCGTAATGATCCTGAGTTTCCCACGGGCTTGGTTTCAGAGCCCTGGTTTCACTAGGGATGGTTGAAGGGTGTTTAGGGTTTAGGGGTTTAGGATATCAGGGTTCCTAAACCCAGAAGCCCTAACAGTAAATATCATGAATTTTGCTTTCAAAAGCCAAAGCCCTGCCTATCTGCCTAGTTCACGAAGGATTGCGTTGGGTTCCTCATGGTGGTAGGTGGCTTTAAGGGGCTTAAAAGCTTAGTAAATGTTTTAGAGGAAGTTTTTTGGGGCTTGGGGTGCAGGGGTCTAGGAAAAAGGGCTTTAGGACCTCGGGCTTCGGGTGGAGCGTATATGAACAACAGGCTCATCCTGTTTCAGCTTCGCGTACGTGCTGTTACTTTGTTGGGATGTTCCCCTTTATACTAACAGTCCTTGATACTGTAGGGATTATAGTGGGGTGTACTAAACCCTAGACCCTAAACCCTAAACCCTAAACCCTAAACCCTAATCCCTAATCCCTATTAAGGACTGTCAGTATAAGTATAAGGGCTGAACATCCCAAGCTTCATGGTGCAGTGTACGTCTTGGGGTTTCTCGGCTTGGACGTGGGCCCCCCGGCAACCCCGACCCCATCAATGGCATGTCCGTCAGTTCCAATCGCGGAGGAGGCACATTTCCGGTTTGGGTACTGCTGCCTACACCCCATGTTCTTTTCTGAGACTGCAGAAAATTTTAAATTAAGCTTTTAAAGCCCCCAACCTCCGGGGTTTATAGGGTTTGGCCTCGGGATGGTAGAAGGGGTTTGAGACAGTCCTCATATAAGGGAAAGCACTTGAGACCCCTACACAATTTAGACATGGGTCTGCTTCGTTATTTTAGGCAACGCATACGGAGGCGTGCGTTTTTCACTGTTGGGTTTCAAGGGTCTGCGTTAGAGAGGTTTGCTCTTGAGGTGCGGAGTTTATAGATTTAGGGTTGGTTCCTTCGAGAGTACTAGGCGTGGTTGCTACCCCGAAAGCCGAAACCCGGAACCCGGAACCCGAAACCCTAAACCCTAAACCCTAAACCCCAAACCCTAAACCTTAAAGAGCCCAGAGAGACCAACCACTGCCGAACAAGGTGCCGAAGCATACCATGCAGTACTTCGAGAAGGCTGAAGGGTTTTGGAGTTCGGTAAACCCTAAACCTTGAACCCTACATCCTAAACCCTAAACCCTCAACCCAGAACCCTAAACCCTACACCCTAAACCCTCCCACCTCCAACCCTAAACCCTGAACCCTAAACCCTAAACCCTAAACCCTAAACCCCAAACCCGAAACCCTAAACCCTAAACCCTAAACCGGTTTAGGGTGGAGGGCCCTTAGGGCTTTCAAAGGGTATATAACCCCAAAATATTCCCTGCTACTTTCGGGTTTGGGGTTTGGGGGTTTGGGGCCCTTTACAGTCCTTTCATCCTTTTCAGCAGAATGGAAGGGACTGCCCTGCAGGAATCAGACCGGTTTCTCCATGAGAGCCACATGACCTCACAATGCACATGATGCTTCGTTGTACACTGGGCAGATATTTCGGTTTAGGCTTTAGGGTGTCTAGGGGGCTTCCCTGAAGGGACCTAAACTTTAAGCCCTAAAAGTAGATGGGCATGGGACCAAGACAGGGGACTTGGTCAAGGAGAACCCTAAACCCTAAGCCCTAAACCTTAAACCCTAAACAGCTGAAGGCAGGGTCCACAGCAAAAGATGGCACTTGTATGCCTAGCAGTTGCAGGAGATGGGGCAATGGCTCCTAGACTGGGTTTAAGGGTTCAGGAGTTTAGGGTTTAGGGGTAGGGTTTAGGGTTTGGGGTTTATAGGGTTTTGGGTTTCAGGGTTTCAGGGTTTCAGGGTTCAGGGTTTCAGGGTTTCAGGGTTTCAGGGTTTCAGGGTTTCAGGGTTTCAGGGTTTCAGGGTTTCAGGGTTTCAGGGTTTCAGGGTTTCAGGGTTTCAGGGTTTCAGGGTTTCAGGGTTTCAGGGTTTCAGGCGTGCCTTGGGCCGAAGCCGAGGTGTCTCAGAAGTCCACATATAAGTCACCTCCATCCGTAGGGTTTGTTTAGTGTTTCGGGTCTAGGGGTTAGGGGTTTAGGGTTTCGTTTTTCGGGTTTAGGGTTTAGGGTTTAGGTCTGGGGGTTTATAGGTTTAGGGTTTAGGGTTTCGGGTTTAGCGCCCCCCCCCCCCCCCCCCCCACCCCCCCGAGCCCATTCAGTGCATGCAGGTCACCGAAGTCCCGACGGTGATTCATCAAGAGGTGCCTGTGGAGGCCACAGAATGAGAGTTCAGGGTTTAGGGTTGAGGGTTTAGGGTTTAGGGTTTAGGGGATTTAAGGTTCTCGATGTAAGTCTAGGGAGTAAGGTATGGGTCCCGCTGCTATGTCCCTTTCTGCTTGTTTTGCACCTTAGTGTTTCCGTCTCGTCTCCCAAGCATGTCAAAGGGCCCATCATGCCAGGCGCTCAGACTTTTCACCTTAGACTCGGAATGGCGTCGGGCATTCAGAGGAGCGGATGCAGCATGCAGAGCGTCCCAAGTCCCTCAGATGCAGAAACCTTCCCAGAATTTGCGATTCAGGACCCTGATCAGGGTTGCCCCACAACCCAAACGTAAACCCCTACAGAGCCTAGATCCTAAACCCTTGCTGTTGAACGCACTTCCTCTGCGCGTCCCGTCAGTCAGTTGGTTGCTTGCCCGTTGCTTGTGCCAAACTCGTAGGTGTCGCAAACGTAACGCATAGCAATAGCACAGACATCAAACTTTGACTTGCTTTGTTTGCTGGTGCAGCCCATGTGTGAGAGGATTCTTGCAAGGGGCCTGATCACTCCACTTGTAACCCAGACCTTTCTGCTCTGCCCCGCAGCCGTGAGGGTTTAGGGAAGACTTGCCCAACTGCAGAAGGCTTCTAGAATGTTTCTGGGCCCAGCACGAACCCTAAAAACTAAAACCTAAACCCTGAACCCTGAAACCCTAAACCCTAAACCCTAAACCCTAAACCCTAAGCCCTAAACATACGTACTCGCTGCAGGTGCCCGAGGTCCACACCGTGGAGACCATCACGGAGGTCCCGCGCCCGCAGCAAGGGCCCCAGAAGCACTCGGGTGTAGGGTTTCGGGGTTTAGGGTTTTAGGGGTTTAGGGTTTAGGGCTTTGGATCAAAGTTGCACAGAAGGGTGCCCTGCTCTGATCAGACGTACTCCGCCGAAACAGAGCGTCACGTCACACCTTAACTCACTTGGTTAGTTTTCTAAACGATGGTCCCCTTTCGGGTACCCCAAATAAGAGCGGCCGCCCCGAAAAGGGACCATAATTTAGAGAAGTGACCTTCTTCAGCCAAGGGCAGTCGAAGGCATAACTTGTCCTTGCCAGCCCATTCCTAAGCAAAGCCAAAGGGGGCAAGAGTTTTCCTGGACGTTCCTAGACTCGCAGTTCGCAGTGAAATCCATAGCCCGCGTATGAGATTGTTTTTTATGTAAATCCCAAAGGAATGTGAAAACAAACTATCAAGGTCCTAAGGGAAGAGTATAGAATTCAATTTCAGCACGTGATCTTGTTCTTAAGATAGTTCCTGCATGAACAGGGTTCATTTGCTGCTTGTTCAAGATCACTTTGCCGCAGGTGGCTGCTGCAGTTTACGAAATGCGCGCCGGACACATGTATAGCACATTCGTGGTCCCAAACCCTTAACCCTAAACCGTAAACCCTAAACCCTAAACCCTAAATCCTCTTGTTCGTTGCTGCCTTTGCGGGTTGAAAACGTCAGGCGTAGCTGCGCAGCCAAGCAGATACGGACCCCATAACCCTCAAAAAGTCCACGTGCCGGGCTTAAGGTATGTCAGGTGCTGAGTTCCATAAAGGGGAAAACCTTTATACTACAGCTCGGAATTATTACTAGTAGTCTTCCCTCAGGCTCCCTTAAATAGACTAGAATAACCCCCAACAAACCCTACTCTAATAAATAAATCCCCTGAACCCTAAACCCTAAACCCTAGACCCTAAACCCCAAACCCTAAACCCTAAACCCCAAACCCTACACCCTAAACCCTAAACCCTAAGCCCTAAACCCTAAACCCTAAACCCAAATCCCTAAACCTTAAACCCTAAACCCTAAGCCCTAAACCCTAAACCCTAACCCCTAAACCCTAAACCTATTCCCTATTACCCCCCTGTATTGCCCACCCAGCACCTAAGGTATCAGGCGGTGCCGAAGGAGATACCCAAGGCAAGGCTTTAGGATTTAGGGTTTAGGGTTTAGGGTTTTTGGGTTTAGGGCTTAGGGCTTAGGGTTTAGGCCCCCGGGGCATAACCAGCAAGCCGCGATCA